TTCGCCGCACCAGCTAAAAAGCAACGTCGTTACCGATCCGCGAATGACGCCGTGTATACGCCGTAAATCCAGTTCCAGAATCGCAATCGTGCAAGAGGGATCCTTAATTCCGAAAGAGGGTTTAGAAATCGCTACGGCCGGATAGAAATATATGACTCGGTAACGCAGGGCGGATTCAATTTAGCTTAATAAAAATATAGCGATTGGCTAGAGGCGAACCGGCTCGCCTCGTAATAACGTCTCGTAATGTGCGACGCTTTATGCGATTTCATTATGCTAATGACCGACGATAACGAAACGCAGAATATGCGGAATTTAATGGATAAACAGATTTTTGTTAGTACATATGTGTATCGAGAACCGTATCTCTAACGCGCGGGTATAACGCGACCGAAATTTAATACCATGACTACAACGGCGCATTGCAAAATTTATAGTCCTGAATTTCATGCGTTCCCATATTTTTGCCGTGTATAGCAAAACGTTTTCAACGAAGCGTGCATCGTTACTCGGTCGTCTTTATAAAATGCGTATAAAATGTGTACGCTTGAAATGTACGTTTTAAAATTTCCATTTTTGCAAATGCTTTTTACAAAAATGGCATTTTTTTATAATCTCGTTATAACTAAATTTTTTTAAACGGTTGATTTTTTTACAATGAGTGTTAAATGTGAAGTGCACTTCACATGTGCATTAAGAAATACAATTGTTTACATCTTAAAGTGAGCCCATTCAATGAAACTTTGTTAATTCTTTTCGGCTCTACAAATATTTTATTTCTTCTTAATCGTAACAAAGGTAACTTACACAGAAAACAGATTTATATCGCTTATTTCGAAGAATACGTCGACTGGGAAGATAAAGCAGATTAAGCTTGAAACATGAAATAACGGCGAGATTAAAAGCCGTGAAACGTTCAGGCAGGAACTGCTCAGGAAGGAATTATAGACAGTTTTAAATATTTATCAGGCTGCTGTATAGAAACGGCCGCGGCGTGAGCGAGTTCTCCCACGACAAAGAACAGCCAAATGGTAATGAATCTATGCGTCTGAATACTTCTCTCTCGTTCGTCTTTTTTGCAGATTTTAATGCAATTTAACTATAATGCGATTCTCTTTCGATACACTGTACTGCAAATCGAGATCATTTCAGAGTTACTTTACATTTTAAACGAAACGATATGTAGCAATTTAGTGCACTAATATATTCTTATTCATATATATATATATATGTATATATTATATTTGAATCAACTGTTATTACCATCATTGAACCATTAATGATTAAATAAATAATTATAAAAATTGAGAAAAATTGTTGCAGTTGTTCCAAGGAATAATTAAAAATTTTTTACTACTAAATTTATTAAAAGTATCGCATTTCTTTAAACAATTTTACTGGAAAAATCCGTATAAATTATTATGAACATTTTCGTCTCAATTCTAGTTTCAATAACAATTTTTTCGAACAATAAGATTCCTCGCAATGTTGACATAATTTATATATACAATATAATTTCTTGAAATACATATATTCCAATTTAATATCACAGAGTAAAACTGTAAATCATTATTGCAGTTGTTAATCAGCAGCTGCATAATTTTCTTGTTCTCATTCCGTGAAACACCGGGAATACGCAGTCACGTTGCAGCTGATATACATAATCATTGCCATTGCCTTATCTCTTTCTCTCCAACGGGTGTCGGCCAATAGGGCAGATTAGATGGAGCAACGCGCTGCTCTGATAACGCTCGCTGTGTAACAGCTTTCTCAACATCGCTCGCCGTAACCATACGTCGCACGCGCGCGCGCTCGAATCCTCTTTGGTGTCGATGCGAAATTTACAATGCGGAAATAGGCGCGGTCGAACCGTGCCGTAGTAGTGCATCGAGACGAGGATAATATCGAGCGCGTACACCTGTCTATCGGAGCCGAATGAAAGCGCGCCGGCGAGAATTGCCGGGTTGAAAGGGACCGGCGGCGGTGTGGGTTGTCCATTGTCCCGATTCCCGCTTGCGTCTGTGTGGTAGACTTGTCGCACCCATTGCGGCACGTAATAATGTGATTACGGGATGTACCACCTTACCCCATCCGCCTGATCCTCGACCAAGATCCCCGAAATTCCGGAGGGAGAGACGTCGGAACGACAAGGTTGACGAAAATCGCGTGAATGCCGAATTTCGAATCCGCCCCGGCGCGCTGTGAAGACGACGTCATTGTGTCGCGAGCGAGACGGCGCGGCGTGCGCTTGACTCGCCTAAGCATATCGTTGTCATTGGCTTAATTGCGCGAAAATTATTGTACAATCGCGCGAGAGATGACGCGAGCTCGTGACATTGTAACACATAACGGATTCTGCGTGAAAACAACGGGAAGTTTGCGGCTTCGTAAGCACGAATTATTATTTTGCAAGATCCAACAGGAAATTCGATATGATATTATTACGCTGGACAATTATTTGTGCGGCGTGTAATGATTATTGCATTATATTAACTAAATAACTAGTAATTTGCGTATTATTGCCGGCTCTTCTCTATTATTTATGCGATTAATCCTTCAGTTTCAATACCGCAATTGCATTGTTGATTTATACGAATTTATTCATTTTATATGAGAGAGGAGCAAATTCCTCCGTGACGATACCAATTTCGTCAAATAAATCATTTTCACAATTCCATTATGAATTTTCCGTAACAGCGCATTGTCACGTTTTATAAGCCGCGTTTTTACAACAATTTGAACAACAATTTTTTGTGCCGGCGCGACGAGATATTGTGATAATTTCATTACAAGCGTGTTATGCTCATCAATGCATCGATGCACGCGTTTGCAGATAAGTTATATCTCCTTTAGAGTTATTACGAAGCCGTTATTACGCCGGGACGGGTCATGTGCAGCAGATTCTCAACCCTGTCTCCAAGTGCCTGTTTACAGTGATTAAATTATGCTCACGTTGCCGTTACACGTGCCCGCGCTAACGTGTCTACAACGTGACGCGTTTCCTAGCTGCAGAGATCAGGGGAGTCGCACGAAATAATGCACGTGTGCTCCGTAGCTCGCTATTTGTTACATTACCGTTTGCAAATGTATACATAGGACATGTATATCAAAAATCTACCCTTCCAAAATGATAAATATTGTAATAAAATAGTGTTGGAAGTAAATAATAATTGTATCAATTGCCGCGATAGTAAAATATATTCAGTCGTTTACGAAAGTAAAACTGTAAAAGATTAAACTAAGCGTTTCGGTGATGGAAGTTATTCTTCAATTAATTTCAAGTCCTCTTTATAAAAAGAAATAAAAGCATGCGGACTGAATACAATTTAATTAAGAATTAAATTACTAAAATATTTTATGTTGCCAGTGAATTTTATATTATAAAATTAAAAAAGGGGGTAGAAGGCAATCAAATTTTTGCTGCAAAACTGTCGATTTTAAATTAGCAAAAAAATTGTAATAAGAACGCTGTGCATGATTTTTTCTGGGAACTGTGTGTATGATATTGAACATTCACAAGTGAAGAGATGGTGGAGATCATCAAGCAACTTGTGTTGTTTGATAATCACGGAAAACGTTGCCCATTGAAATTTGAGTCAACAGACGTCAACATTTGCGAACATAGTCTGCATAACTGCAATTATTCTATTAAGTTAGAATGAAATTTTGCAAATTGTACGAATTAGCGAGATGGAGAAATACCGACTAACGAATCTCTTTCTGTCAATAAATGTCGTGTCGTCAAAATTCGCGCTGCTTTCAAAAATTAAAGGTAAAACATAAGCTTTTAACTTCATAATACTTTATTACTTTTTAACAATGTTGGATTTGCAATCAAATCGCAATTGCATCTTCAATTTTAAGTTATATTAAAATAAAATTTGCTTAAAAAGATTAAATAAAGAAATAAAATTTATTTTTATCTAAAAGTAATTTGTAGCCGTCGTTAAATCTATAATCGCTTATAAAAAATATTGTTGCTTTCACTTTTTTAAGTAGAAATATATTTCACATTAGTCGATAGTTTGCTTTCGTAAAACGCATGTTTACATTTTATGTAAAAGTTAATTTGTAACCGTTATTGAATCTTTAATCTCATAAAAAATATTGTTGCTTTCACATTTTTGAAGTAAAAATCTATTTCACATTAGTCGATAGTTTGCTTTGGTAAAACGCGTGTTTACGTGCGATGTAAATTAGTAGGTTGAAATTTGCTTTAAAAATACTTGGAGTGTAGAGGCTATTTGCAGCGACAGTAACTCATTAAAAATCTCATTACCGAACCGTATTTAAATCGCCCAAAATTACAGGCCGTAAAAAATACGGATAACATTACTGCCGAGAAAAGTTAATCGCCACGCCATTCAAATGGCGGACATTAAAATGAAAGATAAAATAGAACATGATACAAAATGTAATGTGATTATCAGCTTTGAGCTGACGGAAATTTCGTGCGAGGAACCGAGTAACATTGGTGTCAAAAATTAGAATATCAACATAATGGCGTTAATTTAATATTTATTTTTACGAAATTATTAACTGCTTCATCGCTCGAAATATTCTTCTACTAAAGCACACGAAGAATTTGTGAATTGGGAATTGATGACTTTTATTTCAATTCATTTCAAGTGATATCTATAGTTTTTTTGCTCAAATGTGCAATCAATATTTTTGTGAATAATGCAACGTGAAAAACGAATCTTATTAATGGCAGTGTTGTTTGAAAAATAGACTGTTTTTCAGGACCTTAATATAACAAAGGTTCAAAAAACAGCTAGAAAAGCAAATGTTAAAAAAAATACACTAAAAATAAGTACAATAAAGGTTGTACATAATATGTGTATATTTTTCAAAAATTAATAACTTTAACAAATTTTACATTTTGGAGCAATATGTGTTTTTTTTTCGAAATTAGTAACTTGATGTTTCATTAATTTGTATACAGATCCAGACCTGGCGAGAAACACAAAATTCTTTTTTTTTTTTGGTCCACCACTTACCGCGCTGCCAAATTGGAGCACTGGCTGGATTGCTGTCGACCTCGCATTTCAGGCTGACGGACATCCCCTCGACGATCGGAATTCCAAAACCAGGTAAACGCGTTATCGCAAACGACGGAGTATCTGAAACAGGTATTAAGCAATTATTGTCAACGCCAGAATGTCAATGCATTTTGCATATCTGTGGTCTCACAGAAACATCAAAAAGAGCGACGGATATGGTTCGACTATTATTATATCGTGAGAAGATTAAATTAGAGTGATGTTTCGTATAATTCTACCGTATTCTCTTGCACACGATGAAAACGTTTGATACATGGATGAAGATGGACTTCATGATGAACAGCTCAAGATTTGTGTTATACTTTCTCTCTCTTTCTCTCTCTCTCTCTCTCTCTCTCTCTCTCTCTCTCTCTCTCTCTCTCTCTCCCTCTTTAGCTTATTTTATTTCCATAAATTTTTTTACACCGTTCATCTAACTGAATTTTCTAACAAAATTCAGAACGAGAGTAACGTCGTTTAATAAGTAATCCAAAAGATTGTAGTGATTGCGAATCGCAATCTTATTTCGCAGGCAATAGCAACTTCGCGAGCTCGGTAGATCGCAATTTTCGAATAAAATCTTCGCGTGGTAATCCTGAAATGTATTGGCCAGCGTAATCTGGTTTCTAGGCATTCGAAAGTCATTCTTTGTACGAAGAAATTTCTCCGCGCGGAGATATCAACTACTATAGATTGAATTCTCTGCGCACGAAAATAGCTATTCTCTTTGAACAAAAATAGTACGCTATATCTTAAGAAAATAGCGAGTGCTGAAGATATAATTCAATAACGAGAAGTCTTTTAATCGCAGCTGGTTTCTTTCTTTATCACTTTCTATCATTGCTCAGCGAATGAATGGAATATTTGTAAAACCAAAATAAAAAGCGTATAATATTCGTGAGAAATGTATATTTAATGTGTGTTCCGTAGATCGTAATATCTTAATAGTCCATAATTAGATTTTGCCAGAAATATTAAATTATAAAAATTTTATAATTTATAATTTAAGTAAAAATAACTTTTCGCTAACTTAATACAATGTGATATTAAAACAAAGCACAGTATTTTATTACTGTATTATCATATTCATTTTAATTAAGAGATTTTGTTGGAGAAAAAATCTAGAAATGTAAAGCATTATTAATGCATAAAGTATATACACTTAGATACTCACTCACAATTAGATATGTCTTCTTTTCAATGATTAAGTAACAATATATACCATTATATATGACCAGTGTTTTATTTAGCATTTCAATAGTACAACAATATTTTCCATTATAAATAATTGCATAAATCCTTTGTCTTATGTAACTCGTAGAATGCTTATTTCCACCATAAAAGCTTATTGTGACCTGCTTTCGCAGAGTTCACTTCTCGAATATAAACCAGCTTTCCGCCTGGAGCGACATTATGCGCAGCGACATAACTTCACATCATCATCAAATAGATATAACGAGAGAGAGTGAGAGAGAGAGAGAGAAGGGGGGGGGAGAGAAAGAGAGAAAATAAAGCAGGGGAAAGTGTTGGCCATCGAATGCTCGTTATAATGAAGATGCAAACCTCGAGAGGAAATAATTGAACACGTCAAGTGCCTCTACAAATTCAACGTAATCATCACAGGTGACGCGCTTCTCCCGTTACCTCCAGCAATCATATCTCTCGTCTTCCCTTTCTGCATTCAGTATAAGCTTCCCTTCCACGTCATTAACGACTAACGCGAAAGCGGATGACTGAATTCAGGCGTATCCCGCTGCCGGTGTGTATGCGAGACGACGGCCGGTCACGGCCGTTAGAGGAGTTGGCGGAGAACGAGGAGGACAGCGAAAGAGAGAAGATCAAAATCGCCGTCGAACAAACGAGGCATAGGTACGATGAGGTTGTGGCGCGTAATTAACGAACGGAACAGTCAAGATTTTACGGGCGCCGCGGGCGTATTCGTTAAAAGGCCGCGCCGGCACCGTCACACCGACGACGCCACCACGTATCCACGTAACGAACAAACGGCTGATGGCGTCCCGGCGCGTGGTGTACGTGCGGGACGCCACGCTCGATGCCGCCCCGGCGCCGCTCGAGCGATTTGCCGTTACCGTTATACCGTTGTTCGGCTCGTTAATATCACGCCGTCGCTAACAGGACGACCGCCGCCGCCGCCGCCGCCGCCGCCGAGGTCGCCGAGGAATAAATTGGAGATGCGTCAAATTGCGCGAGGGAAGGAAGAGACGAGCCACTGGAAAATGTGATGCGAGCAGCGAGGGAAGAGTCGCAGCACGCGGGAGAATATCGGAAGTGGGACGCGGAGGAAGGGAATAGCGCGAGGGAGGAATAGAAGGCAAAAAATAAATGAAAAAAAGGATAAAGCGGAAGATAGAGAGAGAGAGAGAGAGAGAGAGAGAGAGAGAGAGAGAGAAGAAGAAAGAGAGAGAGAGAGAAGAAGAGAGAGAAGAAGAAGAAGAGAGAAGAGAGAAGGAGAGAGAGAGAGTGAAGAGAAAAAAAAAGGAGGGGATACGAGAAGAGCAGAGAAAGGAAGAGAGAAAGAGCGACAGAGACAAGGGCGGCATGACTATCCAGGATGGCTCGAAGTTATTCACTCGGCTATAATAGCGCGGTGCTGGGACAATGCAAGCTTAATGAAAGCTTCTCTCCCCGGCGACCTCACCCTTTCATTCCCCCGTGCCTCCGCGGGTTTCCCGCATTTCCCCGCCTCGTCGCCGGTGCCGTCGCAGTCCCCGACGCCGACGCCACCGACGCCGAGGATCGCCGCCAGGCACGCCGCGCTTGTAGTTGCCGGTGCAGCAGCGTAAACACCAAACAAAGGGAACAATGAGACACAGGAGTGTCCCACAGACCTCGATCGCTTGATGAGAACTTTAAAGCGCACCCGCAAACTATCGGTCCAGCCTTTATTTCAGGATCGACACAGTACAACCGGGCGCCGCTGGAACCTTTTTATCAGGACATCGCGGAACTGTTTTCAGGAATCTGTTAACATCTGCACAGCGACTACTTCTCTTCCTTCGAATATTCTATCATAAAAATTGTGTGTAACGTACAAACAACATTCAATTCTTCACCCATCAGAAAATTGCATTTTTAATTAATTATATCACAATATGTAGTTTTATTATCTCATAGTCCTTGAACATTTTTTTTAAATTTGTACTACTTTTTTTACATTTTCTTTAATGATGTTTTTATCAGCAACGTTACTCCATTAAATTTAACAAAAGTAAGTATTCGATTACGCAATCGTGTGTCGTATCGTGCGTCGGTTTGTACGAACTTCAAGACAGCACAAAATCTCGTCTTTCGCTTAGAACGAATCTCTTTGAAAGAAATTTCTCCCGCCGTTTCAGCCGGAACGCTCGTAAACTTTATACGGGCCGTTAAGCAAACCTGTATACGACCCGCGGGACGAGATTTTGTGAACGCGTAGATAGAAAAGCGCGAATATACGCTGACGTCAAATAACCGAAACTTTTAATGTAAAATCTATATTGTCATGTAGTTTAATAACAATTGAAATAAACGCATTTTAATTAAATATCCTAAAGTATAGTTTTTAGTTCAATAAGTTTCTGCGGCAATTCGAACTTTAAAATGACAAGTTACATATAATTTTATGAAACATACAGGTTTGAACATAATCTTATTACAAAATTGCAACTCGAGTAAAAATAATTTTATGGATACCTGTGAATAAAACGTGTTTTTTTTTTCAAGCGTAACATGAATATAATGTATATATTTGATGAAAAATGAAATGAAAAGCTTAGCCAGTATGTCCAGTACAGAAAAATGTTCCTGTTCAACAAAATCGCTTTTTTTTCGTGAATTATAATAAAATAAATCAAACAATACAACGTGCTTTAGCCAACTGATTTTTCGTTTATTCGTTTTAAATCGACGTAAATCAATATTGAATCAAAGAGGCATAAAGAGCCGCGAATATAGGCAATGGTACTCGACAACGAGATAACGGTAGGAGAGAAAAAAGAAACGCGATTCACGATGCCGACCAATTGTAAATCATTAAACAACCATCATCGGTATAACTGCGCCATTATTGCGGCGACAAACCGCCGAACGGTTCTCGCTGCGACACGGACGCGCCGCGATAATGTCCGCCGTACATATTTGTTGAACGACAAAATAGCGGAGATCGTGTGCAGCGCGAATACAAGCCACGGGATAACAACGGATGCACGCAAAAATTGATTGGTCGTATCATGATGCCATCTGTATTCTCTCCAGCGTGGTATAAATACATCGGCACTTGAATGAAATGCTTTACTTAATACTCTCTCGCTAATACTGTTTTTAGGAATCATGCAAAAAAATTTTCTTTATATATATAAACAATATAATAATAATAAATCGTATATTAGAAAAAAACATGATACTCAATTATTTTGCCAATGCATTAAATTTTAGATTTTTTTATTTCGAATTTTTATTTTTATAAAAAAAAATTATTATAGAACAATTGAATCTAATATTGAAGCAGAGCAATTAATATGTAATTTTTACGATTTCGGTCGAAAACTCGAGTTTCCAATCTATGTTTTTCGGCTATTATAAATCTCGAAATCGAAAACAAAATCGGAATTTATTTTCAGTAAAATAAAAACGTATGATAATATGTATATAAATGCAATTAAAAAATTAAAAATATTTAATATTTACTCTTATAACAATATAATTAAAATCTCAGAGTTATGAAATATTTTTAAAAATCATTTTTCACAAAATATTAAAAATATATAAAAGTAACTTGAAGTTCCCGCTTGGACGAGAATGTCAATATTCATTTTGATCATCAACGTTTCATTTATTCACGAGGTGTCAAAATCGTTCCGATCGTTTTGAAATCTATGTTTGAATGTCCATAATAAGACAATTGATAAAAAACGGAATTATTCCCATCGGAAATGTTTCCGAGTGGATGTAGTAATGGTTCTAGTATTGTTTCTCTCGCGATGATTATATGGATAATCCAACATAGTCCAGCATAGTTCATGCGAGATCATCCGGACGACACGAATGGATTCCTATCGATTTCACGTTTCGTGACTATCAGC